CGCCGCCACCGGTGCGCCGGGAGCCCGGCTCCCCGCAGCAAAAACCTGCCCTGCGTACGGAGCATGCGCCAAGCCCTCTCCGGTCCCGGAGGAGTTTCCAGGGGAGGAGTCCGCCGCTCTGCGGGGCTGGGAATCCCTGCGTCCCAGAGCTGGGAGCGACTGGGGATAAAGCACACGGTGGCGGGGAAAGAGGCTGGAGGGCAAGGGCGCTGGCGCTGATCCGAGACGGGGAGACGGGCAGCTTTCGGGATCTGAGAATGGACAGAAGCCCGGCTGACCTCGTTCCGGAGCGAACACCTGCCCACTGCCAGGACCATGGACACCTGACTTCACCTGGGTGCGCGGGCCCCTGGTCTGCAGAGGAAATTACCTCCAGCTGTTTTTTTCTATCCATTCAAGACCTTTGGGCTGAGACTCGAGTTTGGGTTTGCCTTTGGCTATTTGGGTGTTTTCCCGACTCTTCCTTAACTACAAACTTGATTTGTCCAACCCTACAACTTAATTCAACCAGCACCCATCGCTCAGTTTTCCATCAAGGGCCCTATGCTTAGGCACCTGTCTGCCTTTCAGCGCTAGAGAGCCAGTCAGCTCCCCAGCCACTTCCTAAACCCTGAGGTACTTAAAAGGTAGGGAGATCAGGGGTCACCTCCTGAAATGCAGTCTACTCACGTGCACTGAGCTCCTACGTGTGCGAGCTCCCCTCCGTGGGGAGATCTGTGCGTGCCTGATTTTCATCAGTTAGCCAACTCCTGTTGATGCGCAAATGTTTTTGCAAACTTTGAAGCACTTAAGTTTTACATTCACCTGAGAATCAAATATTTGCTTAATAGCAACGTCTATTGTTTAGATAATGGAGGTGCCATCAAATTGGAATTAACTGTCCCTCTACAGTTCCTTAACTTGACTGGCCTACCTTTCAGTAGAGAGTGACAGTGTGTTGAAGGTGAAGAACAATGCAGTGTGAGTCCCTTACCCTGGCCAGCATGCCACCCCACCCATCCACCCGCCAGGCTATCCTGCCAGTCCTAGTCCACCACACCTTGCGTTCCATGCCTACATAACAGCATGCTGGCTACAGGATGGCTCTGTGAGGTGCTGGCCTCTTTCTGTCTAAGACAGTTCTCCATTTACCAATCTGTCCCCTTTGCAACCACCAGGTAAAATCGGAGTCTCTTGCAGGGATGCTAAATCCACTCGTTGGAGTGATTTTTATTGTTAGAGATGAATTAGATCCTTCTAAACAAGGCTTCCCCCTTTTGCTTCCTTTTCTCTCTTTTCAACTGTATAGTTGACACTCTGTTGGCATCACCCAAGGCAACAGTGCTTTTCCTGATACGTTTTGAACCTCAATTGTTAGTAAGAGAGGTGTTGGGTAAGATGAATCACCTTCTCTGAGGCTTAGTTGATTCTATTTTTTTCCTCCTCTCACTTAAGCTTAAAATCCTATTAATGGCATGACACCGCTTTCCAGAGCAAGAAATTGTAACAGAACAACAGCAAACTCTAACAATTATTTTCTGAATGCATTCGGTGGTGTTACTTATTAAAACACAAATCACAGCAAACCTTAGCCTTCCAAGTCAAGCTCATTGTCATTTAGTCAATGACTCATATTGACCCTACAGGGCAGGGTAGAACTGCCCCTGTGGGATTCTGAGACTGTAATTAGTCAAGCCCTCTCTACCCTTGTGGAGCATCTGGTGGTTTTGAACCATTAACCTTGTGGTTAGCAGCCCAGTGCATAGCCACCATACCACCGGGTCTCCTTGCCAAGCAAAAATTTTATTATACCTTTTCTTTCTTTCTTTTTTTTTTTTGGTTGTCAATATTTTCTGGAGTTTTTTTTTCTTCTTTTTAAATCGTTTTATTAGGAGCTCATACAACTCTTATCACAATCCATACATACATCAATTGTGTAAAGCACATTTGTATATTCATTGCCCTCATCTTTCTCAAACCATTTGCTCTCCACTTAAGCCCCTGGCAACAGGTCCTCATTTTTCCCCTCCCTCCCCGCTTCCCCCTCCCTCGTGAGCCCTTGATAATTCACAAATTATTATTTTGTCATATCTTGCCCTGTCCGACGTCTCCCTTCACCCACTTTTCTGTTGTCCGTCCCCCAGGGAGGAGGTCACATGTAGATCCTTGTAATCAGTTCCCCCTTTCCAACCCACTCTCCCTCTACCCTCCCAGTATCACCACTCACACCACTGGTCCTGAAGGGATCATCCGCCCTGGATTCCTTGTATTTCCGGTTCCTATCTGTACCAGTGTACATCCTCTGGTCTAGCCAGACTTGCAAGGTAGAATTCAGATCATGATGGAGGGGTGGGGAGGAAGCATTTAGGAACTAGAGGAGAGTTGTATTTTTCATCGTTGCTACATCGCACCCTGACTGGCTCTTTTCTATACCTTTATTCTAAGTCTCATTTTCTATAAAAATCCTGGAGTATTACATGAGTAAGTAAAATCTTGTGAGCGACTCAGATGGATGACCTTTGTGCTTGTGATAATTTGTGTACTAGAAATTGCTTTACTAGCCATTCTCTCATCTGCGCCTCAGAAGAACTCTCTAAGGAGAGAGAATACGTATCCCATTTCAGAGATGAGGAGTCTGACTCAAGGAAAGTCCGGGGAAAGCAGGGCCAGGATTAGAAACCACAAACATCCCTGAAATGCATCCAAGCCACCATGAACATCAAACACAGCCCATCATTTCCTCCCTTCTCGTCAAGAGGCAGGAAGATATGGGGCATCTCAATAGAACAATTACCTTATTTTCCCTCACCTCTTGTTTTCCAGGCAAAGCAGAGCAATTTCTACATCCTGCAACATTTTGACTTCTAGTATGTGAGTCTCCAGATCTTTACAGGAACAGATAGCTTCATCTTTCTCCTGCGGTGCAGCTGCTGGCTTTGAACTGCCAACCCTACAGCAAAGAGCCAACCGATTAAGCCACTGCACCAACAGGGCTCCTAGGGGGAAAAAAAGAACAAAATCATCTCTGGATAGTCATTTCATTGTTAAAAGACGGATCGTTTAGTAGAAGGTCTAAGGAAAATGTTACACAGCTGTTGCCAACAGAATGTCAACTCCCTGCATCTGGGTCGACCTTGACTCATCATGACCTTGTATACAGAGTAGAGTGGCCCATTTGGGTTTCTGATACAATTCATCTTTGCAGAACAGAGTCTCATCTTTCTTCTGAGAAGCAGCTGCTAGGTTCAAATCGCTGGCCTTATAGTTAGCAGCTCAAAGAGCAGCCGACCACACCACCAGGGCACCTTGGTTTCTGCACATAAATATTCTGTGAGCCCTTTTCCAAAGAGCATTCTCCCCGATGATCTATTTTTCCTTCCAGCAAAATATCTAATGGGGTGCCACCGTTTCCTTGAGGTAGCCACAAGGAAAAGCCAGGCATGGAATTAAGGCAGTTTCTCTGAGAAGCCAAAGCATGCATTTATATTGATGGGTAACTTTGGTTGTGTAAACACCCTCTCTCCCAGGTGTGTTCTCACTATTAAAGTAGTGGAACTTGATGTGACCCTAGCAAAAGCTCTTCAGTCAAGGCAATAAGCAGCTTCCCTTATCTGTGATCTCACCTTCAGGCAGAAATGAATAGAAACTTTCTAAAATTGAATGCTATCCAGGTAAAAAAAAAAGGGGGGGGAGGGTGGAAACACATGTTTGCATTCAGTTTATGCGAGTTATTCTGTGATGAAACCAGCTGGCAATTGTTTCCGGCTAACAGATTGCACTACTATGATTCCCACACAAATCATTAAAATAATAAGAAATAATGTTTTCAAAGAGCTTTCTTCCATTTCCTTTGCCAGTCTAGCATTAAGCCTAACACGATCTGTGAAGCAATTTGTTCACCTCATTTTATGCCTTAATAAGCTTTGCTACAATTATTTTCTTGCCTGGTTCTTTCTCTGCCTTAACTCTAGTACCCTTCCTCCTTCTTCGTCTCAAATATTCTCAAACCTGTTAACAGCCTGCACTCCCCCAGGATTCAGACTTTTGATTAGAACCGTCCCCATTTAATCAAGTTCAAT